TACATAATACTTATACATACTGTAATACGGTAAACTAAATTACAAATTGCACGACTGGAATGCTGGGTAATATAAGAATATAATATTAAATAATATTAAATAAAATAACATTAAATATAATTATTAAAATATTAATATTATTAAATATATTTAATATAATATTAAATATATGAATATACTTTTAATATTAATTAAATTACATTAAATATAATACGGTAAACTAATACAAATCTTAGCACAACTGTAATGCGTGATCTGAAAATGCCTGCGTTGCTGCATGCGCTCCAGCCTGTTGTGATGAGAGGGCACTAACCCCTTCGTATAGTGATGACGAGTGATGGTCTCACCATATCTCACTCATCATCATCACGACATGGCTGTGTTTATAGTGAGATCCTCGTCATTATTGTGGCACGTCGTGATGACGAGTGATGGCCTCACCATATCTCACTTATCATCATCACGAGTTGGCTGAGCTAGGGAGGGGGGAAGTGTACACGTGCAACGCACGTGAGTGTCTCGCTTATATAGCGCGCGACGTGCGTGTGTATTAATTGCGTGACGTCAACATGCGTGTGATGAGATACTCACTGTGCACGCATGCGTGGTGAAATTTATACGCACGTATTGCCTGCATTAATAAAATATCGTAAATAGTCTTCTTGCTCCTCTTATTTAATTGAGTGTTGTAGCTGGTATTGTCCTGTTCACAGCGACCAACGAATGAGAGTAATTTTACTATCGTATTTTCATCCACGTTTTCTCTCGTGTTTTATCCACAATTTCTCTCGTATTACATCCACATTTTTTCTCGTATTTCTTCCACACTCTCACGTATTTAATCCATATTTTCTCTCGTATTTAATCCATATTTTCTCTCATATTTAATCCACATTTTCTATCATGTTCTATCCACATTTTCTCTCGTCTAGTAATGCTAGAAATTAGTTTTTATTTAAATATATAAAACACGACGCACTTGCCATATGCAAAAGAAGGCGCAGTTGCCATCGCCTCACAGACAAAGACGCGAACGAAACTCTGTGGGAATAAGCACTCCAGGGCAGACGATGTATTATGACACGGAGGTTCAGGTGCACCACAACTTATCGTTCAGGTGCCTCACTGTCTGATGCAGCTCATCTCGTTGTTGTTGTCGTTTTTGTTGTTGTTGTCGTTGTTGATGTTATTGTTGTTGGTCCTGACGTTGTTGTTGTTGGTCCTGTTGTTGTTGTTGTTGTTGAAGCACAGCTCATAATTTGTGTATTAAGGGGGGTGTGTTACCACGCGGGTTGCCACGCCGGTTGCCACCCGTGTTGCTTGATACGCGGGTTGCCACGCGGGTTGCTACGCGGGTTGCTACGCGGGTGTTGGGGTGACGGTGCAGGTGTTGCTACGCGGGTGTTGGGGTGACGGTGCAGGTGTTGCTACGCGGGTGTTGGGGTGACGAGTGCAGGCGTTGCTACGCGGGTGTTGGGGTGACGAGTGCAGGCGTTGCTACGCGGGTGT